CCGCCCAAAAAGGCCATCCTGTCTGATGACGACGAGGAAGAGGAACCTGAAGCAGACGAGGAGGATGAAAGAGATGAGCAAGAGGAGGCAGGAGGCAGGAGCAAAGAGAAGGCCAGCAGCAGCAGTGTGGAAGAAGCCCGCACTCAAAAGGCGCCCTGCGGGCGCGCAGCCCGAGGAAGACGAGGAGGGGGAGGCGCGCATGTTATCAGATTCCATGATATGTGTATTGTTTTGATATGTTGCGCATTTCATGCTGAGATTAATGGATTGCTTTGCTTACCTCAACTCGTTGATGACGTGGTATGTCTCGTTTGCTCATCGTGTGTTGCGCGTTGTGCATCGTTGTAGCTCACATTTATCACGCACGTTATGAGTGCTGCATTTTCGTTTCTGCATGTCCGTACGCCCTGCCTCGACGTACATCGAACAAGGCCCGAGGACGGCGAAAACGCCACGCACAGGGACCGCAACAAGTTTGCGAAGTTCTTGAGGCTCCTGGAGTCTGATGACTTGCCCGAGGAGGTGAAAAAAGCATGGCAGGACTGCAAAGGCCGCAACAAACAAACGAAATTCATCAACACAGGGATGAAATCCAAGGGAACTGGCAAATACAAGATCGACGTGAATGCTACTGTGGTGAAGGATCCTTGCTGTGCTTTTCTTGCTTAGTATTATTATATATGTAGACGCATAAAGATTTCACTGGAGACTCACTTGCTTGCATGAAGTATGTTGGCCATGCGTTCCTTGCCCCGTTCTTCGCCGAGCGTTCTGCGCGCATGCTTTTCCCATCTCCGGACCACCAAGCATACATTGAGAAGAAGAGCGCGACCGAATCCAAGCAGGCCCTGCCGACGGACGTCTACATCCAATCGGTTTTCAACGGTAACGAAGCCCGATTCACTTTCCATTTCTTGGCTTGAAACAATTGGTTGATTGCATTGGTCCGTTGCCAAGCGGCGCGCAGTGATTTCATCGTTGCGTGATCTCAATTTGCAATAATCACATATGTTATGGCCGCGGTGTTCCGCACGCGTTGCTTCCATATCCATCTGGCAACACTTGTCTTGAATATCGCTGTTCTTCCTCATTTGCATTGTCGCCCATGTCGCCTACAAAGCCGCAAGCAACTCTGGCTCGGTCAAAGGGTACATTGGCGTAGACAATGTGAAATACAGCCGCCACAACGCCTACAGAATCGACAAAGTTCAGGGCGTGGAGAAACGCACGGCTCCCACGGGCGATAGGAAAGTCTCTGCTGAGGAGGCCTCGAGGATGAAGAAAGCCCTCGACGCCGTCGGGTGGGATTTCAATTTCAGCAACAAGAAAGTCAAGGAACGCATTTGTTTCATTCCATTTGGTTATCTTTCTGACATTCGCTACACGTCGTCTGCTCATATCGTTTGCTTGTTTTCGCGCATGTGTTATTGTCGTATGCGTATGCATGAATGCTAGCGGCGTTTTCCTTGTCATTAATCATCGCGCCTTCTGGCGCGCTTCCCATTGATTGGCGCGCGAGAAGATGGATAATTATATGGCGGACGATGAGATTCCGCAGCCGTTCAAGAAACACATCGAGGAGGCGTGGCAAGCGTGCGTCAAAACCTTGAAAGAATTCAAAAAGATGACCAGCATGCTCAAAACCTGCGGAGGCGACCAGGTGGCCCAAGGCCACGCGAGCAAGCTGAACGCGTTGGAGCCCAAGATCAAGGATTGCGGTTGCTTGTCATATTCTGTGGTTGCATATTCACTTTGCAGCGTGCGTGTGGCATATGTGTTCGAAAGGTATATGTTGAATTGGTGTGTATTTGGATTGATTGCATATGTTGTTACAATTCTGGCATTCATTGTTTTGTTGCGCATGTCTCACACGACGCGTTCATGGCTGCGCTGTGCACGGAATCGCAAGGATTACGAGCACATCCTCGGCAAGATGCAGACCCACAGGGTCACCAAGGACAACGAGAAGTTGACGACGGAGTACTGCCATAACTTCCTGTCTGAGGTCGCGGTCGACCTTCAGACAGGCTTTCAGGACGTTTGTTTTTCTGCACAGTTGATTATTGCGCGCTATTGTCAGTAAACATGCAAGCTTCGTTTTGTGAACCGCATAAAAGTGCCCTGTCATCATCATCATCATCATCATCATCATCATCATCATCATCATCATCATCATCATCATCATCATCATCATCATCATCATCCTCATCCTCATCCTCATCCTCATCCTCATCCTCCTCATCCTCATCCTCCTCCTCCTCCTCCTCCTCCTCCTCCTCCTCCTCCTCATCCTCATCCTCATCCTCATCCTCATCCTCATCCTCATCCTCATCCTCATCCTCATCACCACCATCATCATCACCACCACCACCACCATCATCATCATCACCACCACCACCATCATCATCACCATCATCATCCTCCTCATCATCTGCATCGTGATCCTCATTATCGGTGTCGCCGTCGTCTTCATCAGTCCCCTCATAAGAGACCAGACAAAACACACTCAGGACGCTGCGCACGGTTCGGACCATCCTGCCAAGTTGCTGAGGCTGTGTTTCAGAGGCCTCCGGGGTGTTCGTTGGCACCTTGTTGGAAGCCTCTGGGAGCCTCTTTCGGGCCTCGTGGGGGCCTCTTGGGGCCACTGGAAGGCCTCTTGGGGGCCTCATGGCGCCTCTTCGGGGCCTCTTAGGGCTTCCTGGGGGCCTGTGAGGGCGTAAGGCTGGAATTGTGGGTGTCAGAGCCCCTGAAGCAGAGACTAATTAGATTCCTATTGGAACCTGCATATTGGATACACGGAATAATCACACTCGATGGCTCCGTGTATCCGAGGCAGATTCTGATTGGATTCCTATTGGAACCTGCATATTGGATACACGGAGTAATCGCACTCGGCTACTCCGTGCACCCGAGGCAGATTCTGATTGGATTCCTATTGGAACCTGCATATTGGATACCCGGAATAATCGCACTCGGTTACTCCGTGTATTCGAGGCAGATTCTAATTGGATTCCTATTGGAACCATGCAGATTCCAATAACGCGAATTTCCCAAAGCCTCGATACCCGCCCTCTTTGTCTTCGATCGAACCCCTTTTTTGGGGGTATTCCTTTTTTCCCTGCAGGCTGGGCCCCGGCAAGCGGCGGGGCGGCCGCGGCCCGTCGGCCTGGCCAGCGGCAGCGCTGATCGGCTGGGCGGCCGCGGACCGTCGACCCGACCCCAAGAGGGACGGACAGGGGGCCGACCACGACGACGACGGCGACGACGACGACGGCGACGACGAGCGAAAGCGAGAGCGAGAGAGAACGACAGCAGGGCCACGAAGGACACGAAGTAGGCCACGAAGGGCGACAGCGGGGACACGAAGGGAATGCGCATGGGGCCACGAGGAGCGCGAACGAGCGGGGGCCACGAAGGGCAAATAATGCGGGGCCACAGAAGGCAACGATGGGGCCACAAGCGGCGACAGCGGGGCCACGAAGGGCATGCACATGGGGCCACAACGGGGGCGACTCCTGGGTGCCTGGGTGTCGGGAGCGCGGCGCTTGAGCAAATTGCAAGAAATTCCCACGCAAGAGCACTATTCTTCAGTAAATTGCAAGCAAATCTCCAGCGAGAGCGCGACTCCAGAGCGCCCGGAGAGCGATTCCTGAAGAAATCCTAAGGAAGTCCAAAGCGAGAGCGCGATTCCTGAATAAAATGCGAGGAAGTCTCGGGCTGGAGCGGGGGTCCTGGCAAAATTATGAGGAAGTCTCAAGCGTGAACCGTTGTTGTTGTAACCCGGGGGCCAGGGGGCCGGTTTTAGCATCAAGAGTTTCCCTGACAAAAAACAGGGTGCGAGCGTCGAGGGGCACACTTTGATTTAGAAAAAACACGATGCACCGGTGGGGGGATCAACAATCACTATTCTTCAGAAGTGAGAGTTCAACGATAACAACAACAAACAACAACAACAACAACAACAACAACAACAACAACAACAACAACAACAACAACAACAATTACTAGCACGTGGGGACACTCCGTTCTCACCAGTGCCAGGGTTTTCATAGGAGGCGGGCAATACCCCCACTTTGTGGGGGGGCCGGTTCAAGCTCTACCAAATTTCCAAACGACTCTTCGCCACCACCCACACCCAGCTTCCCGCCCTATGACGTTCGGACACTTCACTTCGTGGCATGCGGACGACCGTGGCTACTATTCAGGGCCCCGCGGCCGACGACGACGGCGTGCGCGCGCGAAGAAAAAACGAATGTGTCCCGCATGGTATTATTTGACAGGGATGATGGCCCTGGCAGGTGCGCAACCGTTGTTGCAGAAGTTCGAAAAAGTTGCTCGCAAAAGCCCGTTTGACAGAAATGTTTAAAAAGTGTTGGGTTTCCTACGAATCCGCAAGAGCGCGCGGGATGAGATTTTGACATTTTTTTGTTGAAAAACCATTGGTTTTTTGATGTTTTTATGTTAAAATCGCTACGAACACTAAGGTTTTGGAAGGATTTCGTCTTGCGCGCGCGAATGTCCACTTTACCTTATTTTTTGCAAGGGATTCTTGAAATTTGATTATATTAGAACAAGAAATGTCATTTTCTATTGTTTTTTGCAAGGGAAAGCGGACTACAACAAAACAGCCGGATCCTGTACACACCCTCTTTTCTGAGGCTTCCTCACGAAAATGATGAAAATGTAGCTGCGGCCTAGGCGGCGCAGGGGGGGCGCGCACCAGGGGGCCCAACAATAATTATTCTTTAGAATAAATAATGTTCAACAACAACGACGACGACGACGACGACGACAACAACAACAACAACAGCAGCAGCAGCAGCAGCACCATCAGCAACAACAACAACACCACCAACAACTACAACAACAGCAACAGCAACAGCAACAGCAACAGCAGCAACAACACCAACAACAGCAGCAACAAAAACAACAGCAACGACAACACACTGGGCGCGGGATGCTCTCCAGGGGCGCCGCGGGGCGAGACGGGCGCACCGGGCCTCCTCGCCCTGCTGCTCCGGAGAGGCGGCGGCGGTCTCCTCTGCGCTGGGCTCCGCCTCTGGCGCCTGGCCCCGGGTGTGGAGCGGGAGCTGGGCGCGAATCGGTCGGGGGGGGGGGGGAAAGGTGCCCTTCTCGGGCCCCAAAGGCCCCCCCCTGGGCCCTGCAGCGCCCTTCTCGGGGCCTTGAAAGGCTCCTTTTCGGCAGCCCTCGCCGCCCCCCCCGTCGATCGCCCCACCCCCCATCAATTCGCGCGCGCGGGAAGAGCTGGAGTGGAGTGGTGGGTTCTAGGATTTCAGGCTAGCCACGCGCTCGCCCCAAAAGGGCGCGAGGTCCCAGGCAGACAGGCAGACAGGCGGCCACAGGCGACGGCAACGACGGCGCCGGCGAACAACGAACGAACGAGCGCAGCGATACGAACGACGGCGAGACGACTGAAGTGAAGTGGTGAGGGGGCATCAGAAATAGGAGGAGGACGACGAGGGGGAGAAGAAGAACGAGTAGGAGGAGGAGGAGGAGGAGGAGGAGGAGGAGGAGGAGGAGGAGGAGGAGGACGAGGAGGCGGGGGATCACTGGCCAGGCTTCCAGGTCTACGAGCCAGCGGGCCACCATCAGGCAGCCCTCCAGGGTTGAAGGATATGTCTGGCTGTTCTGGGGCTGGGCTACCCCTCCAGCGCCTGACCCCGGGAGTCGGGGGGGGATCCAAACGAACCCACGATGCGCCAGCCGTGCTGCAATATATCATCTTACCGCAAGTCCCCTTTCATGATTCCCTACGTGCCAGCGCTTCTGAAAAAAAAGGCCAGCACCCGACGGGCCTGCCATGCAGGCGAAAACACCGCGTTGCAGAGAAGCTGCGCTGCGGCTCTCTGGCGAATGGTAAAGGACGTGAAAGCGACAGGGTCATGAGAAGACAGTCCAAGGCTTCGCCTGGCCAATATCAAGACCTCCACACTCGAGTCATCTGCTTCAGTAGAGTCAGCCTCACTGAGAATCACCAACCCAATTGACCAGCACACCTGAGCACATCACGAAGCATCGAGCCACAAGCGCGCACCTTCGCAAAAACCAGTACGCCCGCACTGCATTCCTTCCACCACTTCTCGACATGGGGCCCCCAAGCGCTGATGTTGCCACAGGCCAGGGTGAGACCTTCAGGAACGGGGCGCTTTAAAAGCACCAACACCTTCAGACTCTGCCTCTGCCCTGGCCGCCCTGGAAATCGCGGCCTCAAGGACAGCAGCCCTGCGCTTCTGGATCTCCGCATCCTCGGCTTACGTCGGGCGTGTCCCCCTACAGGCGGATATTGGGCAAATTGTTTTCATGCTAAGGAAAAAATCCCCATACTACTTTTTGACAATGCTTGAACATTCCTCCTGTAGTTGGACACGCCCGAATTACTCCTCGGCCCGACGCACCGGCTTGCCTCCAGGAGCCTCTTGGGGCCTCCTGGGGCCTGGGGAGGATTCGTGCCCCAGGAGAAGCCCAATCTAAAGCAACAGACGCACATCAAACAATGCGGATTGGAGCCACAGGAGAAGGGGGCAATCTATAGGATCACGCGTAAAACACCAAGGACTCGTGCTCCAGGAGAGGCCCTATGGGAACATAAGTGCACAGGAGAAGGACAATCTATAGAAACAGACGTATAACATCAAGGATTCGTGTTTTTTTGTTTTTTTAATGGTCGGCGCGGCGCACGCAGCATGCACCGTTCGCTGGAGGGCACGGCTAACGGCAGCCACTCGTCTTGAGCGGCCCAAGAGGACCAGCAAAGGCTGTCGCTCATCGTTGCCACGCGCCGCGCACCTCGAAGGAAAGCGCCGCCAGCTGAGGCGACCACGCGAGCCACCAACCAGCCCGTGCCGAGCCCGAACAGGCCCAGACCACCGAGGGCACCCCCCTACGCTCGTAAGCCGAGCGGCCACCAGAAGGAGGCGAAAAAGGGCAGACGCCCGGGGGCATGCGCCGTCAGCTGAGGCGACCGCACAAGTCACCAGCCAACCCGTGCCGAGCCCAAACAAGCCCAGGCCGCCGAAGGCACTCCCCCCCCTGCTCGTACGCCGAGCGGCCGCGACAGCTCGAGGAGTGTCGCCGCGGCAAGAGGGCTGAAGAGCAGGCCGATCCAATTCGCACAGCGCGCATCTGCTGAGGGCGCCTGCAGCAGGGCAGCAGCACGCAGAGGAGGACCCGCTCAGGTGGGTTGGCGCCGCTGCCGCTCTTTGCTCGCCCACGCCCGCCACGGGGGCCCTGGGCCGAACTGGGAGTGGAGCCACTGGCGACCAGCGGCAGCCTCTGAGGCCGAGGGCACCGGAGGGTCGACCTCGCCGCCGTCGCACTGCCAGCCCGGCCTTCGGATGTCGCGGTCGACCGTGAGGGCCACGGTCCCCGCGAAGACGTGGCGGCGCAGCGCCAGGAACCGCTCGGGCCCGCGCGCGGGCGCCTCCGTGACAAAAGCGCCGCCCACGCTGCCAGCGCCGTCAGCGCCGTCGACCCTCCCGCCGTCCCCGCCGATCTTCATCCCGATGCCGCCGTCGCCGACGAAGCGGGGAGAGGCCGAAGACAGGTTGGGAGAGCGATCCAGGCCCTGGTCACGACGGCCATCCTCCTGCATGCCCAGCTCGCCGCACGAGCCACCAGTAGCAACCTCGCTGCGCCCGCAGAGGATGGCAGCGTCGTTGGCCAGCAGGTAAGCCGTGACGATACTGGGGTCCACGCCGCCAGGAGGAGAGGAAGTGCAAGCCGCGCTGCACGCCGTGCCAGAACCAGTAAGAGGAGGATGAGGAGCCCCATGTGCCGCAGGCCGAGGAGCAGGTAGGACCACGCTAAGCGAGCCGCCGTAGCCGCTGTCCCCGTGCGTCTCCACAACGGTAGCCTCCACATCCTCGACGCCAGCGTGCCACCACCGCGCCCCTGAAGCCAAAGGGGCCGCGGAGGGCTGGCGTGCACTGCACACGCGCTCGGCGAGCGCGAAGAGAGCGCCAGCGGGCAGGCTGCGCCCGCGCCTGCGGGCCACGCCCCATCCCGTCGACACGCCCTCGGACGCCGAGCGCTGGGCAGGCACACGGCGGTGAAGAGGGCCTGCACCAGCAGAGCGGAGAAGAGGAAGAGCAGCAAGTCCGCGACCAGCAACGCCATGCCCGTGCCGAAGCTGTCCTCCTTGCCGGTCCCGCCGCGCTCGCTGAGCAAACCTCTGCAGGCGATTGAGGGAGGCCTGCCGCATCGCCGGGATGTTGGGAGCATACGTAAAACACATGGGATTGGAACCACTCCTGTTGCCTTCTGAGGCCTCCTGCTCCTGGGGCCTCTCGGGGCCTCCTGTTGCCTTCCGAGACCTCCTGGCGTTTCCTCCGGCCTTCTGGGGCCTCCTGTGGCTTCCTGAGGCCTCCCGGAGCTTCCTGGGGCCTCCTAGAGCCTCTTGGGACATCCTGTGGCCTCTTGAATCTTTCTGTTGCCTCCTGATGCCTCCTGGGACCTCATGTGGTCTCCTGGGGCCTCCTGGAGCCTGTTGGAGCCTCCTGTGGCATCCTGAAGAGAATCTGTGCCCACGAGTCTGGCCACCGATCGAGACATCCCCACAATCTGGCCCACCTGGGTGGTGAAAATGAGCGCCTCGCTCGAGACATCCTCGAAATCTGCTCCGAAAGCGAAGGATGTTGGGACAGAAATCAAGCAAACCGCCTGAGACATCCCCACAAAACGGCCGCGACCGGGACCGTGAGATAACCCCTGGCGGCTCCCCTTAGGGAGGTGAAAATGAACACCTCGCTCGAGACGTCCTCCAAATCTGCTCCGAAAGCGAAGGATGTTGGGACAGAAAACAATCAAAGTGTTGAGACATCCCCACAAAACGGCCGCGAACGGGATCGTGAGATAACCCCTGGCGGCTCCCCTTACGGAGGTGAAAATGAACGCCTCGCTCGAAACATCCTCCAAATCTGCTTCGAAAGCGAAAGATGTTGGAACAGAAAACAAGCAAACCGCTTGAGACATCCCCACAAAACGGCCGCGAGCGGGACCGTGAGATAACCCCTGGCGGCTCCCCTTAGGGATGCTGAAAATGAGCGCCTCGCTCGAGACATCCTCCAAATCTGCTCCGAAAGCGAAGGATGCTGGGACAGAAAACAAGCACACCGCCTGAGACATCCCCACAAAACGGCCGCGAGCGGGAGCGTGAGATAACCCCTGGCGGCTCCCCTTAGGGATGCTGAAAATGAGCGCCTCGCTCGAGACGTCCTCCAGATCTGCTCCGCAAGCGAAGGATGTTGGGACAGAGAACAAGGAAACCGCTTAAGACATCCCCACAAAACGGCCGCGAACGGGACCGTGAGATAACCCCTGGCAGCTCCCCTTAGGGGGGTGAAAGTGAGCGCCTCGCTCGAGACATCCTCCAAATCTGCTCCGAAAGCGAAGGAAGTTGGGACAGAAAACAAGCAAACCGCTTGAGGCGTCCCCGCAAAACGGCCGCGAACGAGGCGTGCGTGAGTCTCAGCATGAGTAAGTCTGAGTAGGAGTAGGTCTGAGTATGAATAGGTCTGCGTATGAGTAATTTTGTGTGTGAGTACGTCTGGGTATGAGTAAGTCTGAGTGTGAGTCAGTCTGTGTATGAATAAGTCTGGGTATGAGAAGGAGAGGGGAGAAGTCGGCGGCGTCCACGAAATTACTCACTGCGTGGAAATGCCCGTTTGTGCATGTTTTCGAAAAGGATTATTGTCAGTGGGATCTGGGAATACGCGTCTAGCCATTTGGGCGTTTGGAACTGCTCCTGGGGCCTCTCGGGACCTCCTGTTGCCTTCCGAAACCTCCTGGCGTTTCCTCTGGCCTTCTGGGGCCTCCTGTGGTTTCCTGAAGCCTTCCGGAACTTCCTGGGGCCTCCTAGAGCCTCTTGGGACATCCTGCGGCCTCTTGAATATTTCTGTTGCCTCCTGATGCCTCCTGGGACCTCATGTGGTCTCCTGGGGCCCCCTGGAGCCTGTTGGAGCCTCCTGTGGCATCCTGAAGAGAATCTGTGCCCACGAGTCTGGCCACCGATCGAGACATCCTCACAATCTGGCCCACCTAAGGGGTGAAAATGAACGCCTCGCTCGAGACATCCTCCAAATCTGCTCCGAAAGCGAAGGATGCTGGGACATAAAACAAGCACGCCGCCTGAGACATCCCCAGAAAACGGCCGCGAACGGGACTGTGAAAACACCCCTGGCGGCTCCGCTTAAGGATGCTGAGAATGAGCGCCTCGCTTGAGACTCCAAATCTGCTCCGAAAGCGAAGGATGTTGGGACAGAAAAACAGTCAAACTGTTGAGACATCCCCACAAAACGGCCGAGAACGGGACTGTGAGATAACCCCTGGCGGCTCCCCTTAGGGACGTGCAAATGAGCGCTTCGCTCGAGACATCCTCCAGATCTGCTCCGACGGCGAAGGATGTTGGGACAGCAAACAAGCAAACCGCTTGAGAAATCCCCACAAAACGGCCGCGAACGGGACCGTGAAAACACCCCTGGTGGCTCCCCTGAAGGATGCTGAAATTGTGTCGAGCGCCTCGCTCGAGACATCCTCCAAATCTGCTCCGAAAGCGAAGGATGTTGGGACAGAAAACAAGCAAACCGCTTGAGACATCCCCACACAACGGCCGCGAACGAGACCGTGAAAACACCCCTGGCGGCTCCCCTTAGGGGTGTGAAAATGAATGCCTCGCTCGAGACATCCTCCAAATCTGCTCCGAAAGCGAAGGATGTTGGGACAGAAACAAGCAAACCGCTTGAGGCATCCCCACAAAACCGCCGCGAACGGGGCGCGCGTGAGTCTCAGCATGAGTAAGTCTGAGTAGGAGTAGGTCTGAGTATGAGTAGGTCTGAATATGAGTAATTCTGTGTGTGAGTAAGTCTGGGTATGAGTAAGTCTGAGCGTGAGTCAGTCTGTGTATGAGTAAGTCTGGGTATGAGAAGGAGGGGGGAGGAGAAGAGGAAGAAGAAGGAGTAGGAGGCGCCCAAGTAATAATTACTCGACGCGGGGCTCCCCATATGTGCATCTCATGTTCTTGGTACGTCTTTCTCTTGATATCTGTCAATGAGCGCCTGTGTGCGAGGGCGAACCGCTCGCTCGAGACATTCCCACAGTCTGCAAGCATGCGTGCGACCAATAGCAAATCTGAGAGCGACTGATTCTGAGTGTGAGTTAATCTGGGTGCGATTGAGCCTGGGTTTGAATGGGTATGCGTGTGAGTAAATATGAGCGCGAGTGCGTCTGTGTGCGAGTGGGTCTGAGTATGCACGAATCTGAGTGTGAGCCAGTCTGTGATTGAGCGGATCGTAGCATGATGAGTCTGAGCATGAGTGAGTCTGGGCTTGAGTGGGTCTGAGTGTGAGAAAAAGTGTGTGTTAATGAATCTGAGTGCGAGTGAGCCGAGTCTGATTGGGTATGGGTGTGAGGCAGTCTGGGCATGAGTCGGTCTGCGTTTGAACGGACCAATGGATGATGAGTCTGAGCAGGAGCGAGTCTGAGTATGAGTGGTTCTGAGCGTGGGTCTGGGTGTGAGTAAGTTTAAGTATGGATATGAGCGAGCCGAAGTGCGAGTGAGCCTGCGTGTGACTGAGTCTGAGTATGAGTGAATATGAATGCAGAAGAGTGAAGGAGAGCGGAGAGCGAAGGAGAGTGAGGCGGAAGCTTTTGAGTAAAACCTAAAGCTTTGGAACATAGAACCTCGATCGTCTGGCCCTGGCTACTCGAGTTGCCCACGTCCTCCTCCTCCTCCTCCTCCTCCGCATCCGCATCATCATCCGCATCCTCATCCTCATCCTCATCCTCATCCTCATCCTCGTCCTCATCCTCATCCTCATCATCATCATCATCATCAGCACCCCCTTTCTGCTCCTGCTCCTACCGTGGTCATGCTGTCCTCCTCCTTCTCCTCCTCCTCCTCCTCCTTGTCCTCTTCCTCCTCCTCCTCGCTTCCTCCTCCTCCTCCTCCTCCTCTTCCTCCTCGTCGTCCTCCTCCTCCTCCTCCTCCTCCTCCTCCTCCTCCTCCTCCTCCTCCTCCTCCTTGGGAGTGCTGAAACCAGCAAATCGCATGAAACATCCCCCAAAAACTGCTCCGAGAACGACACATGCCCAGCATCATAACGGCCAAACCGCCTGAGACATCCCCGCAAACTGGGCGCGAACGTGCTCCAAATCTGCTCCGAAAGCGAAGCGTGGAGAAAACAAAAAAACGCCTGAGGCATCCCCACAAAATCCCGCGAAAGGGGCCTAGTGAAATACCCCCCGCCGCTCCCCTTAGGAGTGCGGAAAACCAGCGAATCGCCTGAGGCATCCTCCAAATCTGCTCCGAAAGCGAAACATGTTGGAAGAGAAAATGGCCAAACCGCCTGGGACATCCCTACAACATCCCGCGAAAAGGGGCCGAGTGAAATACCCCCTCCGCCGCTCCCCTTAGTGCTGAAACCAGCGAATCGCCTGAGACATCCTCCAAATCTGCTCCGAAAGCAAAACATGTTGGAAGAGAAAATGGCCAAGCCTCCTGAGACATCCCCACAAAATCCCGCGAAAGGGGCCGAGTGAAATACCCCCCCGCCGCTCCCCTCAGGAGTGTTGAAACCAGCGAATCGCCTGAGACATCCTCCAAAACTGCTCCGAAAGCGAAACATGTTGGAAGAGAAAATGGCCAAACCGCCTAAGACATCCCCACAAAATCCCGCGAAAGGGGCCGAGTGAAATACCCCCCGCCGCTCCCCTTAGGAGTGCTGAAGCCACAGAATCGCCTGAGACATACTCAACATCAGTGTGTGTGTGTGTGTGAGTCATCCGATGAGTGGACCTGAGTGAGTGTAGTGAATGTATGAGTACAAGTACGAGTGAATCTGAGTGATGAGTGAGTCTGAGTGATGAGTGAGTCTGAGTGATGAGTGAGTCTGAGTGATGAGCAATGAGTCTGAGTCATGACTGAGTCCGAGTGATGAGTGAGTCTGAGTGATGAGTGAGTCTGAGTGATGAGTGGGTCTGAGTGATGAGTGAATCTGAGTGATGAGTGAGTGGGTCTGAGTGAGAGGAGTGGTGTGGTCTCGCTCCTCCGGCGCGGTCCGCCAATTATTCACTGCGTGGAGCTCCCCATATGTGCATCTATTCGCATGGACCTGTCCGCCGTGAAGGTCTAGGCGCAAGAGCTTTCGAATATAAGCAGGCTTCAGTTGTGACGGTCTGGTCAGCAATCTAACTGAGAATGAATTGGAGTGTGAATGAGCCTCAGTAGTACGAGCGCGTCTCTGCGCATGAGCCTGGGTCCTCCTGGGGCCTCCTGGGGCCTCCTGATGTCTACCTGGGGCTTCCTGGAGCCTCCAGGAGCCTCTTGGGGCCTCCTGGGGCCTCCTGGAACCTCTTAGGGAGGATTCGTGCCCCAGGAGAGGTCCAATCTATAGCAACAGACGTACATAAAACATTGCGGGTTGGAGCCACAGGAGAAGGGGGCAATCTATAGGAACACGCGTAAAACACCAAGGACTCGTGCCCCAGGAGAGGCCCTATAGGAACAGAAGTATACAGGAGAAGGACACTCTATAGGAACATACGTATAACATCAAGGATTCGTGCTCCAGGGGAGGCCCAATCTATAGGAGCATACGTAAAACACATGGGATTGGAGCCACTCCTGTTGCCTTCTGAGGCCTCCTGCTCCTGGGGCCTCGCGGGGCCTCCTGTTGCCTTCCGAGACCTCCTGGCGCTTCCTCTGGCCTCCTGGGGCCTCCTGTGGCTTCCTGAGGCCTCCTGGAGCTTCCTGGGGCCTCCTAGAGCCTCTTGGGACATCCTGTGGCATCTTGAGTCTTTCTGTGGCCTCCTGATGCCTCCTGGGACCTCATGTGGTCTCCTGGGGCCTCCTGGAGCCTGGTGGAGCCTCCTGTGGCATCCTGAAGAGAATCTGTGCCCACGAGTCTGGCCACCGATCGAGACATCCTCAAAATCTGGCCCACCTGGGGGGTGAAAATGAGCGCCTCGCTCGAGACATCCTCCAAATCTGCCCGAAAACAAAGAATGCTGGGACAGAAAACGAGCAAACCGCGTGAGACATCCCCACAAAACGGCCGCGAACGGGACCGTGAGATAACCCATGGCGGCTCCCCTTCGGGGGGTGAAAATGAGCGCCTCGCTCGAGGCATCCTCCAAATCTGCTCCGAAAGCGAAGGATGTTGGGACAGAAAAATGGCCAAACCGCCTGAGACATCCCGCGAAAGGGGCTGAGTGAAATCCCCCCCCCGCCGCTCCCCTTAGGAGTGCTGAAACCAGCGAATCGCCTGAGGCATCCTCCAAATCTGCTCCGAAAGCGAAACATGTTGGAAGAGAAATGGCCAAACCGCCTGAAACATCCCCACAAAATCCCGCGAAAGGGGCCGAGTGAAATACCCCCCCGCCGCTCCCCTCAGGAGTGCTGAAACCAGCGAATCGCCTGAGACATCCTCCAAATCTGCTCCGAAAGCGAAACATGTTGGAAGAGAAAATGGCCAAGCCTCCTGAGACATCCCCACAAAATCCTGCGAAAGGGGCCGAGTGAAATACCCCCCCGCTGCTCCCCTTAGGAGTGTTGAAGCTACAGAATCGCCTGAGACATCCTCAACATCAGTGTGTGTGAGTCATCCGATGAGTGGACCTGAGTGAGTGTAGTGAATGTATGAGTGCAAGTACGAGTGAGTCTGAGTGATGAGTCTGAGTCATGACTGAGTCCGAATGATGAGTGGGTCTGAGTGAAGAGTGAGTCTGAGTGATGGGTGGGTCTGAGTGATGAGTGAGTCTGGGTGATGAGTGAGTGGGTCTGAGTGAGAGGAGTGGTGTGTTCTCTCTCCTCTGGCGCGGTCCGCCAATAACAAGAACCCCATCTCTTTGGATATAGGGAATAACAAGAACCCCATACTTAGGATATGGGGAATTACTAACTGCGTGGAGATCCCCAGATGTGCATCTTTTAAAAAGGATGATTGCCAGAGGGATCTGGGAATGCGCGTCTAGCCATTTGGATATGGGGAATCCGCCGATCCGGCGTGTGAGTTTCAAGGAGTCTCAGCTACAGCCTCGAGGCTGAGCCTCAGCCTCTGGGGGGGTTGCCGGGGTGGCTCTGCCGGGGAAGGGGGGGTGGGTGGGTGGGGGGGGGCGAGTTTCCGGCGGATGCGTTTTTTGACACCCCTCACAAGGATCGTGGCCTCCGAGGGGGTTCCGAACTCGAGTACCACCCCACCCGCACCAAGAGGCTCCGAGGAGGCCTCCAAGAGGCCCCAAGGGGCGCAGAAGAGGCCCCCAAGAAGCCCCAAGAGGCTCCCAAGAGACCCCCAAGAGGCCCTCTAGTGGCCCCAAGAGGCCCAAGAGGCCCCCAAGAAGCCCCAAGAGGCGCCCAAGAGGCCCCCAGAAGTCCCAGCCAACCACGAGATCCCAACCAGCATCCATGAGGCCTCTGACCCACCACCCACGCACGGTGGCGGGATAGGCCGACGGCCACTGGCTATGCTGAGTGAGAGGAGGGGAGGGAAAAAGAGAGGAGGGACGAGGGCGAAGAAAGATCACATCAGTCGGAGCGCCCCGGATCGGCGGCACTGGCCGAAGGCCACTACAATAACAAGAACCCCATCTTAGGATATAGGGAAAAAGCAATACATGCACAACAAGGCTCCAACATATATTCGAAAATTCGTCCCCTGGCTATGTTTTACTATTTTTGAATACTCCCCATGTAGAGGGACAGGCCCGACTTAAGGTCAGCATCTCGGTCGGCTTCTTGTACTCCCCCTGCATATCCTTGGCCTCGGACTGCAAGGACTCGAAGGCCCTCTTACGTGGCTCAGCGCGGTCCTTCTTGTGTGAAAGGGCCCAGCGCTCGAACTGCGCACGATCCTGGAAGGCAAACTCGGGGCCTGACAGATCCACCACCTCGCCGAAGTCAGACACCAGCGACTCTGGGCCCGCCAGGAGGGCCTCGATGCCTCGATGTGGACCACCCACTCGTCGGGGACTTGAGACTCCTCCTGGACGAGGCCTGCGGGAAGCACCTTCTGAGCACGGCGCTTCGTCGTCTCCTCCATATTCTGCTGGGCCTGACGCTCATTGCGCAGGCACTCGTCGACCTTCTGAGGTGCTTCAATGAGGTACTGCTGGGCATTGAGCTCGTCATGCAAGGCCTTGTCAAGAGCCTTATGGTCCCAGCAGCCTCAGTCACCGCGATCTTCGACTCGGGAAGCTTAGGCCACTAAGCGGATTTCGGCGGCCAACTCAGCACCCCTGTGCTTGAGGAGGGCAGCAGCCTCACCAGCAGGAAAGAGACTGGCTGCCTGCCTGATGGCCGCCTTACTGGGATCATCGACAATGACAACTTCTGAATCCCCTGCACTGGCCTTGCCTCCAATTCCTGCACCACTAACAGAGGCGCTGGCCCCTGGGTGCACCAGCTTCCCACAACCAACGCAGTACTGGCGGCGTGGAAGAAGGCGATCATAAGTTCAGAAGACGTTTTTGGGGTTTGCCCGCCCGGTTTCTCTTTCTTCTTCTTATTGGGTTTGCCCGCCCAGTTGCCCGCCTTGGCGACGGACCACTCCCACTCTTCACCACCTGCCGACGGGGGTGACTTCCATCACGGGGCCGGCACCATGACGGGCACTGAAACCACAAGTCAAATACATACGAACAGAAACCCCTTTTGTTCCAAGTCGAGCCGTGAGATCCGAAGGAACGGCTGCAAAACCCGAAGGAGCACCGAGGGGGCCAGCCACCCAAAATGCAACGGAACGCACGCAAACCTAAGGAACGACCGAGCCCCTTAAGACCTCGAGCTGTGCCGTATTTCAACGAACAGACTGTAAATTCTGGAATGGAGGTGTCTTCGATTTGAGGCATGCAAGAAATATCCTATAGTCTCTACGGAGGCCGCTCGGGAGACTCGCGGGGGCCACTTGGGCGTCTTTGGGGGCCTGTTGGGGGCCTCTTGGCTTCTTGTGGGACTCAGAGGACCTCTTGGGGGCCGCCAGAATGCTTCTGGGGCCACCTTGGCGCCGAGGGCGATCGGAGGGCCTCTCGGGGGGCGCTTCGGGGGCCTCTTTCGGACCCTCTTGAGGCGTTTTGGGATCATTTGGGGCGCCTTTGGGGCAGTCTTGGGACCATCCTGGGTTCCTTCGGGCCCTCTGAGGAGCCGATTCGGCGGCCTTGGGACTCGCTTGGGGGCCTCTTGGAGCCGCCTCGGACGCTGGTAGGACAGAGAGGGAAGATGCTAAGCATGCACGATCACACGCAAAGAATGCAACGATGTTTGCCGCTTAAGGCCGTCGGGGGCGTTCTCATGGAGCCGTCTTGGGGCGTCTTGAGGGCCTCTTGGCCGTCTGGAGGCCATCTTCGGAGGTCCTTGAGCAGTACGTCCAGAACTTCTGCGGGGGGTCCGAGGGGGTTCGGGGAATGCTCCAGGGAGGCTACGGGGAGGCACTGGGGAAGCTGCGGGAGGGGAGGGGCCCTCAACGTGCAGTCGTGGCACTGACGGTCTTTGACCCCGGAAAACCCCCAGGCCGGGTGTCTGGTAGGTGCGAGATGTACGTATGCTCGGATGTCTCGGGGAGGCGTGGAGTCAGTCCTTGTCGCCCCTTGCCGTCGCTCGGACGTCCATTTCCTATGTTTTGTTCGGTTTCGTGCGTGGCTTACTCGCCGAATGATCGAGGAAGCTCCTCGATGGTCCTCGCCGACGGGAAAATGCACGCGTCCGAGCGATGCCGAGGCCCTCGTCGTCGTCTGCAGGGGCGAGGAGCGCAGAGGGGGAAAGGCGGAGAGGCGGCGCCTCTGCGGTCTTCCGGAGGCGCTGGCCGTCCTCGAGCTTCCACGGGCACTCCTGCGCGGCGGAGGCGCGGTGTCACGCACGACGGCGCCGCGCCGCGGTGATGCCTGCTCGGCACCGACCTCACCGGCGGACGTCAACGAACCCCCCTCTCTGGCCAAGGCAAGACTCGCCATCGCTCGGACGTACATTCCCTGCTTTTTGGCGGTTTCGTGCGTGGTTTTTTCGCCAAATGATCAAGGATGCTCCTCGATGGTCCTCGCCGAAGGAAACATACACACGTCCGAGCGATGCTCTTCGGCTACACGCAAGAGTGACCCTGGGTAAGAGTGACCTTTGGTGCGCGGCTTTGGGGGGGCCGCGGGGGGGCCAATCTCAGGCGCGCAAGACGCTGCTATCGCATCGCAATCGGTGATCGGGGGACACCATTGTGCCCGCACCAAAGGTCACTCCGGCGAAAGGTCACTCTTACGTGTAGTCGATCTCTGGCCAAGTCAAGAGGGCGTATACTCCGATCCTGGGCCCAGGATGGGCCCGGCCCGGATCCGTGAGGGTGGTTCTAGGATGATAAAAAACCAGCATAGACATAAGCTTTTGGCGCTCCGCGCGGGTTTCTTGGGTCCGCGCCGGACCCCCCCCCTCGCTGGCGCGCGGAGCGCGCCAATCCAAGAAATCCACGCGGAGCGCCAAACATGTATGTTTATGGCGCTTTTTCCTCTTCGACCACTCCGATCCTGGGCCCAGGATGGGCCCAGCCCGGATCAGTGAGGGTGGTTCCCAGAGATCCGATGTCGTGATTTTTCCAATACAGGGTCCCCAGAAGTCTCGACCCATTCCAGAAGACCGGTTTTTCATGCTGAGTCGTGTTGAGTGGTCCCGGGGCCTGGCGAGGGCCCCTCGAGGCTGAAAAATGCAACAAAAACGCCGTCTTGTTTTTTCAATACGTTGGATGCAAGCCAACGCTAACGCTGCGCGATGCTCGGTGGCGAGGGCGGGTCCGGAATCGGCGCGGCCGCGGGCCGCCTGGATCCCCAGGCGGACGGCGAGTGCCGCGCATCACAGGTGCACGGAGGGGCCCAACGACACACGAATGAATGCACACAGATACCAGGATTTCCATGTTTTCCTATACTTTCTGTGTTTTTGTCTTCCTCCCCACTTCCCATATTTTCCGATCTTTTCCAAGGAGTCGACGACGAATTGTGTCTGTGTGTGTTTTCCCCTCCTGATGTACACCATCGCACACATCCTCGAATCAGCGAGCTTCTCCCGTCAAGGTGCAACGAGATTACAGCGACAATAAAAAAAAACGTCGCTGTGACCTCAGATGCGCGCGCGCTTGGCGGAGATGGGCATCAAGTCCCCAGGTTTACCTCCACCAACGCCGCACCGCAGAACTCCACGCCCGAAACTCTCATTCGATCTCTCATTGGGGCACTCCGAGAACGACAGTGCTATGTCAGCGCCCGTCGACTCTCGGCCTCCGTTCGTCCAGAATGGGTAAGGGAGCATGCATGGATAACCTCTCTTCGAGGGCGCGCCGCTGGATAACCCCAAGGGGAGAAGGGGTTGGGAACCCCCCCTCCCCCCCCCCCTCCTCGATCCGTCGTCGGGGAAACCCTCCCCCCTCCCCCCCTTCCCCGATCCGTCGTCGGGACCCCCCCCCCCTTTCCTCGATCCGTCGTCGGCGACCCCCCCCCCCCTCTCCACCCCTTTCAAAAGGGAGTTGGGGGTTCCGACCCCCCCCCCATCCCCCCCTTTGGCTGCAACCACCCCCCCCCTCCCTCCCTTGCGCCAGGCCGCCCCCTGACTCCAGAACCCGACCCCCGCCACCCCTACCCCTAGTCCTCACCCTAACCCTCAAACCCAAATCCTAACCCCAACCACTGACTCCAGCCCCAAAGAGTACTCACTGCTCACTACTCAATACCCACTACTGACTACTCGCTATTCGCTACTCACTTTTCACTACCCCCTACTCACTACTCACTATCCACTACTCACTATCCACTACTCACTACCCACAATCCACTACTCGCTACTCACTACTCCCTCCTCCCTACTCACTACTCACTAGTTACTCCTCACTACCCACTACTCAAGACTCACTACTCACTAAGCACTACTCACTACTCCCTACTCGCTATTCACTAATCACTACTCATTACCCACTACCCACTACTCACTACTCACTACTCATTGCCAAAAAAACACTACTCGCTACACACTACTCGCTACTCGCTACTCCCTACACAATACTGACTACACAATACTCAAAATTCACTCATCGTTACTCCCATACTCGCTACTCAATACTCACTACCCACTCCCCGCTACTCGCTACACACTACTCACCACTCACTACTCCGTACTCACTAGTCACTACATAGTCTCTAGCCACTAGTCACAGCTCACTAGTAACTAGTCACTAGTCACTGCTCACTACCCACTACTCACTACTCACTAATCGCTAGTCACTACCCACTATTCGCTACCCAAATATTACTACTCACTGCTCACTACTCCCTACTCCCTACTCCCTACTCACTACGCACTACTCACTACTTACTACTCGCTACTCCCTATTCGTTACTCACTAATCACTACCCACTACCCACTACTGACTACTCTCTACTCACTATTCACTACTCACTACGCCCTACTCGCTCCTCACTACTCACTACTCGCTAGTCCCTACTCGCTACTCACTACTCACTACCCACTGCCACTACCCACTACCCTGTATTCATTACTAGTCACTACTCACTACTCACCAGCACTACGTGCTACCCAGTACTCACTAGTCACTACTCACTACTCACTACTCACTACTCACTACTCGCTACTCTCTACTCACTACTCACTACTCACTACTCACTACTCACTACTCACTACGCACTACGCACCACCCACTACTCACTACTCACTAATCACTACTCGCCACCCACTACTCACTACCCACTACTCACTACCCGCTACTCATTACTCCCTACTCCCTACTCAGTACTCACTACTCGCTAGTCGCTACTGACTACTCACTGCTCACTATTCGCCACTCACTACTCATTTATCAGTACACACAACTCACTATTCACTACTCACTACTACCCACTCCCTGCTCCCTACTCCCTACTCGCCACTCACTACCCACTACTCACTACCCAATACTCACTACTCACTACGCAGTAACTCACTACTCACTACTCACCACTCCTTACTCCCAACTCCGTATTCCCTACACACCTTCTCCGGCGCAGAAAGGAGAAGCGAGAGAGGCCCCCCCTCCCCGGCTCCCTTTCAGGCGCAAAGGGGTGGAGGGGGCGGGGGGGGGGTTTGGACCCCCCCCCTCTTTCCAGCGCCAAGGGGGGGAGGGGGGGGGGTCCAGACCCCCCCCCCCTTCAAGGGAAGGGGGGGAGAGGGTGGGTTCGGAGCCCCCCCCCCTTTAGGGGGGAGGGGGGGAGGCGGTTCTGGACTCCCCCCCCTTGGAAGGGAGGGGGGGGAGGGGTTCTGCAACCCCTTCCCCCCACTTTAGTGTATTCAAGGAGATCCACTGGCGCACTTTCCCTCTCTTCGTCTTGTCTCGGAGACATCTGAGTTGGACTCCTCATATTGTGCGCGCAGGCCTTCTTCGCCCATCGTTGACACGTCTCTAAGGTAATCTGCGAATGAGATACTTTCACTTCCGACTCATCTGTGTCCATGGGTGTACTCGTCGGCGTGTGACGATACCAAGAGGGTGTGATACATGTTCACGGGGGTATCCATGAGTCTCCGTGAACCGCACTGCACCAAACCCGTGGAACACGGGAAATGTTCCATCACAAATCCTGCTCATCCTGGACGTGATTCCACAGCGAATCTGATACTATCAACTATGACGCGAAGGCCACCAACACGTACGTGTATGCATACATGTCTGTATAAATATATATATATATATATATATATATATATATATATACATGTAGGTGTGAAAACACCCATGTGCACACGCATTGAGTGCGGAAAACGGCCGGCGCGTCTGCCTCTCTGCAGGTTCGAACGTGCACGCATGTGGCAATGGATTCTTCCGTACGCGAAAAAGCAGGGTCACCGAAATACTGGCCAAGTATCACATCAGCATCGCAGGTAGGCAGGAAATCAATATGCTGTAGCAAGGTGGCTAGAAATTCATGCTTGAAAGATATTGTTTCTATTTTCATACTGGCACGACAATGTTGGCATGATGAACTGGAGTGTAGAACATTAAGAACAATGATAATGTTTGCGCAAATGGAGCATCACCAGGCAAGCCATCCGAATGTGCTTCGTAAATAGTCAGGATGGGCGATATCCACAGCGCTAATTGCGAGAGCCCTCTTATTTCCAAACGTGTCCACAACAACGTTGCAAACAGACGTCGTGTACATGTCCAGCATGTCCAGGGATTGCGGTTGCGTGATCACTGTGGCAAGGTAGGTTAGTCGTGGACCCAACCCTATACGTAGAGGGTGGCCATCTCCTGCACGCCGCGGGAGGGAGGTAGAGCTCTTTGTGGTGCACAGTCTGTGTGAGGAGTGTGCCGAGCTTCCCATGGTGGGGTGCGAATTGGATGAGGGCATGCCGACATGGATGGGGCGGCGCACGCGGGTCCCCCCCCACTGGTGCCGTCACCAACCCCTCAACGGTATGCCGAAATTGGCGGGGAGGTGTATGCAAGCACCCCCACTGGTGCCGTGAATGGAAGTGCACATGGGGCACAAGCCGTCCGAGGGGTGTGCCGAAATAGGCGGGGAGGGGAATGCGGGAGCCCCTACTGGTTTCGCAGCTGGAGCTCCCTAAGGGGCACGATGTGCGTGAGGGCACGCCGACATCCATGAGCCACCCAAAAGAACAACAACCATAATAATAAAAATGATAACAACAACAACAACAACAACAACAACAACACAAACAACAACAACAACAACAACAACAACAACAACAACAACAACAACAACCACAACCACCACCACCACCACCACCACCACCACCACCACCACCACCACCACCACCACAACAACAACAACAACAAC